TGGCTGTTCAGATGAACTATGTGGAGATTGCGTGATGGAGATGCTCAACGACATCGTGTTCATCCCGTCGGTGACAGTGATCGTCTTCCAGGGCTACCGCGTGATCGCCAACTCTTGGGAGGTAGGCGGTCGCCTGTATGCTGTCTCCAATGGAGGCGTGGTGGTGGCGCTCGACTACCCGCTCTGCCACTTTGAGCTGAGATTGGTTGCCTCAGCATCTGGCGATGCAGTGGGGCTTGATGCCGATCGGCTGGAGGCGAGGTCAGCAGTGTGGCGGCTCCGCCTTCCTGGCTCGTGGTGTCCCGAGTGTCAGGCCCGACTTTGATCAAGAATGCCTCGTGGTGCCGACAGCAGGCGGCCCGGATCGAGTGCCCTGATCAGCAGCTTCAGTTGTCACAGTTGGCAAACATCCACGCTCACTGGACGGCTGCGATCGACGCGGGCACTGAGGAAGAGACTGGGCCAAGGATCGGGGCGATCGCCGTGGAGTCCCACCCGGAGAACCTGCACTTCACCTGCGAAAGCCCGCTCTACAAGGCTGGCAGGCACACGGTGGAGATCGAGGCGCTCGCCCTCAACTTGCACAACAAGCAGGTCGAGGCGACAGTGGCGCCGCCGATCTTGGACGCCACCTCCGTGCAGCCGGTGGAGATCGCAAGCAACGCTCTGAAGTCTTTGCCGGCTCCGTCTCACAGGCAAGCTGCGCTGGCTCCAGTGCATTGGGACGCCGAGTTCTCCATGACCGAGCCAGGCGAAGCAGCTCCTCAAAAAGACGTGGACGACAACAGCCTGATCATGCCCGGCCGGAAGACCTTGGAGGAGAAGCGCAACCAAGCTCGCAGCATGGCTACTATGACGCCAGATGCCTTCGTGAACTCGGTGGAGGGCGCTCGCTCGAGCTTCATGGAGNNAACAACTCTGGTGCTCACCCGGTGAATGAGCCAAGAAGCTTTGGCCCGTACGCGGCCAGCACAGAAGAGTGATCTTCCGAGTTTTGACTTAGGAGCCGTTCGGCAAAGTTGCCGCATTTTGCTCCAGGAACGATTATACAAATCCAGAGCATGCGACCGCTCGCGTCAAAAAGAGGGTTCGGAAGGCTCTGCCTGCTGATGCCCATGACGTGCGGTCAGTTGTGCTCAAAGTGACTTTCAGTTGTGCATGTTCATGCTTGCGCACGTCAAGTCTTGCAGTGTAGCTTCCGCATGTTCATGCTGGCATGTGCAAGGGTTCAATTGTTTACAGTGCAGCATGTTCATGCTTGATTGTGCTTGTTCGGGACAGAGCTCCGCTTTAACTGTTCAGTCTCTGCAAGCATGTCAACATAGTGCTCAGTCGGGTGCATGGCTTTCACACAACTTGATCAAGCTGTGCATGTCCTGTTGATGCGCTTTTCAAGCAAAGTGGTTGCACAAGTTTTTCTCTTTGTGGTTTCAATTTATACAATATTTCTTTCACCCTAAACTTTCTCAAGAAGACTCACGGACGATCGTCCAGACAGATGGGTTGTCAAGGTTCTGTCGGTCGGTTGTTTTGACGAGCAGTTCCGTAAGGCGGTTCTCGCTGCTCCGCTGGCAAGTTTAGACTTTGTCTACTCGGTCGAGGCGGAGTCCGAGGGACAGTTCGCTGCCTCCATCATTGCTTGGGCTCCCGCAATTGACAAGGATGCTCTCGCAGTTTTCAGCCAGCGCACCCTCATGCTCGAGCAATTCTGGCTCTTGGCAAAGGCAGCAGAGACCCTCTTCACAGAGTCGTTCACCATGCAGCTCGGCTTTGGACAATGCTCGAAAGTTCGTAAGCGAGCTCATGCTGATGCCTTAGCTCTGCGCAGACAAGCCGCCGTGAAGTCGCTGCTCGCGATGCCAAAGTCGGTTCCGAGACCGAAGCTGCCAACATCATCAACGAACAGCTCTACACCACTGCTCGACGCAGAGGCAGCTGAGAAGCAGAGGTGGGCCGCTCGGTTGGAGGCAGTGGCCGGTCGAGCCGGAGACCATGCGGAGCTCAACAAGCACGAGGCGGGCGACGAAACGCTCACCGGCCCGGAAAGAGAAAGGATCAAGAACCTGGTTCTCAGTTCTGGGGCTCCAAAGACGATGGCGGTTCACATCAGAAGGTGGGACAAGCTGGAGAGGTGGTGTTCAGCCAACTCGGTGGCGCTCTACCCGCTCACGATCGATGCTGTAGTCAAGTACGCGTTGTTCCTTGACTCCAAGGAGTGCGGGCAACTGTTATCCCGTCTCTGCGATCGGCTCTGAAGTGGGTCGGTTCGCGACTGGCAATAAAGCTTCCTGATCTCCAAGATAAACGCCTTCTGGCTCTCGAGACGGATGTCTTCCAGAAGCGTGCCAAGATGATCAAGGAGGCGATCGCCATGCCCTTTGAGGTCGTGCAGGCAATGGAAAAGTTTGTCTGCTCCGGAAAGGAACCGGCAGCCGCTCGGATCTTCGCCTGGTGGCTGCTCTGCATGGTCTTTGCTTCGCTCAGGTTCGACAAGGCTCGAGATGAGGCCAGACGTTGGGCTGCTCGGCGTTGCCTGGCAGACGAAGGTCGAAAGAAAGCGGAGGGGGACGAAGTTCACCGTTCCAAACGTCGGCTTTACGGATGGCCAGTGGCTCTGGGTCGGCTGAGAGCTCTTCAACGTCGCCAGCGTGCCCGAGAGAGACTTCTGGGTGCCCGACCTGAATACGGTCGAGGTCTTTAACAGCTTCCCGCCGGACTACAACCGCTCGGTGCTTTGGTTTCGATGGCTGGCGCACGATGCCTTCACCAAGTACGGCACGATCGCGCCGCCCAAAGCAACTTCCGACAAGATCAAGACCTTCACCATGCACTCTCCTCGGGTGACCATGCTCGACGCTGCGGTTCACCAAGGTCGAACGCCTCAGGAGATCGGGTTGCAAGCGAACTGGAAGGATCCAGGTCCCATGGTCCTCAAGTATACCCGCAATCGCTCCACGATACCGGCTGTGATGATGCAACAGCTCGTTGCGGACTTGAAGGACGCGTTCGCGCCCAAATGCGTCTCCAAGGACGATCTTGTGGATGAAGGGGACGACGATCTACTTCCCATTGCAGAGTTCTTTCTCAAGATACCTGACGGCTCGGCCTCTAGCTACGAGTACAAGTACCATTGCTCGTCCAAGGCGGACTACCAGGTCGTGGCATGCGGTAGGCTGTCTGCCGATGAGTGTGTGCATGTAGGACACTTGCTGCCGGATCCTGGCCTACTTTGCAAGCTAGGCCCGACGTTTCTCTCATGTTCAGTAATTGACTGTCTGCTCGATTTAAAAGCTGGCTTTCAAAGTCGCACAGTCCTGTGTCAGTTGCGCTTGTCTTCACTTGGCTGCTTGAGCTTCAACTCGGCTCCTGTAGGGCGCTTTGTCTTGTTGTGCTTTGTAGCCCGCTCGGGAGTTTGGAGATGGTGGATAAGACCTCCTACACAGGCTCGGTGCCTGATCTGGCAGTTCGTCAGATTTTTGGCAGGCAGAAGCTTCCAGAGAACCTGTGCTTGCTCATGGCTGACTCCTCCCTGCTCTCGATCGAGAGGATCGCGATGTTGGGGGACACCATCTCCCCGGCCAAGACTACGCTCAAGGCCATTGTCAATGATGATACAAAGTTCGGAGCAGACAACGCCGCTCGCGAGCTGTCGTTGACCTTGTTGGCGGCCGTCTGGAAAGCATCGGCAGCCCTTCAAGACCATACGGCCGCTCGGCGAGCCAAAATGGAAGAAGATCCGAGTAAGATCCCGGAAATCCCAGGTGAAGACCACGCCGAATTCCGTGAGACGTTCGTCTCCGCTCACCCAGACGTCATCCTCACCTACATGCGAGAGCCCCATCGCAAGTTCGTGGAGCGGATCTACCGGGACTACATGGTGCACGGCTCCGTCAGCTACTACGAGGTGGCCGAGATGCGTACACGCAGCGATCGCCTGGTCCAGACCACGGGCTTCAGCAAGACCTCCGAGGATCTGCTCAAGGTGGTTCAGCACGACAACAAGGCTGCGATCGCGGCGGAGTCCGACGTCTTGGACGGCTTGCATGCGTTCTTTGTGGCGCTCAATTACCTGAACACCTGCGATTTCACCTTTGCCGCGGGCCCCCTGCGGTACCTCTCGGAGCTCGAAGAATGGAGGCATGAGAACAGAGGCCTCTGGAACGACGCACGCTCGTCCGCGGAGGTGGAGAAGTTCCAGCAAGCTCAGGCCAGTGCTCCACAAACACCGGCCAAGCGTGGGCGTTCGCCGGATGCTTCCACACCTCCTCCACCGAACAGGCCTCCGGGCAGCCGCGCTCGCAAGAACAAGCTGCGCCGGGAGCGCCAGAAGGAGATGGTCAAGAAGTACAAAGAAGGCTCCAAAGGCGGGCTCGAGGACAAGCCAGCGGACAAGAACACCAAGGTCCCGGACAAGGAATGGAAGACCATCACTTCGTTCAAGTACAATGGACGGCGCAGGTGCCCCTTCTACAACTGCTCGTTGGGGTGCCGCTTCGGAGATCAGTGCAATAACTTGCACGCTTGCGTTCAGTGCGGCCAGGCACACCCCTGGCACGGCAACCACTGAGCGCCTGAACAGTCCCCCGCTCGGGGGACGGCCGCTCAGAAAGGCCTGGAAAGCACTACAACGAATGATCAGCGCTCAAGCAATGTGAAAGTTGCAGTGCATCCAGGCAGCCTTTCTGACAGCTCCCCTTGGACCTCTTGGGACGAGGTCCCCAGAGATGCTGCGCTCGTGGCGTCAAAAGGCCCGTTCTTTCTTGAGATCTTTGCAGGCACAGGGGGCGTCACCGCTGCTATGAGGCAACTTGGAGTCCCCTGCCTCCCGCCCATCGACATCGTGGCCGAGGGCGAGGTCAGCTCCGCTCGAGATGTTCAAGATGAGGAGTTCTGGGCCTTTATCAAGGAGCTCATACGCCGCGGCTCCGACGCTTTCTTCACTTGGGGACGCCTTGCTCTACCTTCAGTATGGCAAGAGCTGTCAAGATAAAGAATGGGCCGCGTCCCTTGAGATCGCTCGAGTATCCGCTCGGCTTGCCAACTCTCGATGCAGCCGAAAAGCAGCAGGCCCTGCTGGGCAACACGCTTCTCGACAAGTCTGTGGAGGCAGCGCTCGCCGTCTTGGCCGAGGGCGGTGATTTCTCTCTCGAGAACCCTGAAAGAAGCCTTCTCTGGAACATGCCGTCCATCCAGTTTCTCAAGATCATGTACCCAACGTTCGTTGTGTCTTTTGATCAATGCTGCTTTGGTTCTGTGCACCTTAAACCCACAACTTTGTTGACCTCTCAGGCCCTTTTGCAGGCCCTAAGCGCTCGCTGCAAAGGTGGGCACAAGCACGTCCCGCTCAAGGGCAAGGTCTGGAACAAGAAGGATCGAAAGTGGGTCTTTCGCACCAAGGCAGCTCAAGTCTACCCCAAGCCGCTGTTCGAGGCGATCGCCCAGAAGGTCTCCGGTGTCTTCTTCGAGGACTGCCCGCAGTTCGCGCAGTCTTTTCTTCTGCGCTCGGCGGACCGTAAACGTCCGCTCGGGATGAGCGAAGCTTGGCTTCAGCATAGACAGAATCGATCGGTCATGCTAGCTCAAGCAGCGGGCTATCAGCTCAAGCGCGGTGCAGTCAAGCCCTTGCTGGATGTGGAATGTGAGCCAGGGGATGCCATTCGCTGGGCTCTGAGTGTGCCTCACCCTTTCTCCATCCCGCTCAAGCTCCAGGATGACCTTCTACGATCGATCGACCAAGTCTGTAAGGATCCGGAAGCGCTGTGTCGGTGGCGTCTGCGGCAGCTCCAACATTGGCACGATCGAGCCGTACATCTCTTGCCTGCCACTGATGCGCTCCTGACTCAGATCCAGGACAGACACCTTCGGCGCCTTCTTCGAGGAGTACCAGACGGTCAAGCCGCCCAGCTCGGGGTCACCACGCACATCGAGCTCTACAAGGAGATGCTGCAGGCGGCGCAGTGCCCCGACGGCTCCATTGTCGAGGACATGCTGCACGGCTTCCGCATCGTGGGGAAGATCAGGCCTTCCGGTCGGTGGCCGCCCTACGAGAAGGCTCAAGATGTTCTTTCTGTGAGCGATGCTTTGGCTCGGGCCTGGGAAATCCGCAGGAAGATTGTGCGCCGAGTGGCCGCTGTTCAGCGGTCTGACAACCTTAAAGTCATCTGGGAAGCTACGCTTGAAGATGTGCTCGAAGGATCTTGCTTGGGCCCGCTCGGCTCAGAACGAGAAGTCTCGGGCCTCGTTCAAGCGGACGATTGGATTCCCACTCAGCGCTTTGAGGTCGTTCAGAAGAACAAGGTCAGGGGCTGCGACAGCGCCACGACAAACATGATCAACAAGATCACGGAGATCTCCGAGAAGCTGCAGCTCCCCTCGACTGACTACAATGTGGCGGTGATCCGAGAGCTTCGCTCGAGGCTGGCCACGGGCTCTAGTCCCTCTCTTGAGGGTTGGGTCCTGGATGAGAAGAAGGCATATCGCCAGATCCCTATTCACCCTTCGCACCGGAAGTTCAGTGTGATTTGCCTCAAGGATCCTGACGATGGCAAGGTTAAGTTCTTTGTCATGGTGGGTCACTCGTTCGGACTGGTCTCCGCCGTCTACAACTACAACCGCCGCTCGGCTGCCATCAATGATATCCTCGTGAACCTCTTCTTTTTGGTTGCCTTCAACTTCTACGACGATAAATACGGCTTTGAGCCCAGTCATTCCTACGCGCTCGCGCACGACGTGGCGCAGAAAGTTCACTGGTGGCTCGGAGCGGCCTTTGATGTGAAGAAGCTCCAGAGGTCCAAGAAGCCTGACGTGCTCGGAGTGACCTACAACCTGGAAGAGTTCAAGCTCAAGATCCAGCAAAAGAGGAGAGCGGAGCTCAAGGAAGCGATCGAGGACATTCTCCAAAAAGAGTCTCTCGATCCAGGCTCTGCGGGGAAGCTGAAAGGAAAGCTTATGTCTGGCGCGTCCCAACTCTGGGGAAAGGTCGGGAGGGCCTTTCTCAGGTCCCTCGGATCTCTGAGCGCCAATACTCGAAGCACGCTCGTGATGATGGCTTTGCACTGAACCCTGCTCTGCTGCTCTCGTTGTTCCAGTGGCTCAAGCTTGTCCAAGACGGGCCTCCGCGTCCGATCGAAGAGCAGAAGCTGAAGAAGAGCGACGCAGTCTTGTTCACAGATGGCTTCACTCCAGATGCTCGCAAGAACGAGAAAGGATTGGACCGAATCGGAGGCGTCGTCTTCGATCGAGGACAGTGCAAACCCTATCAGTTTACGGCGGTGGTCCCCGAGAGAGTCAAAAAGTTCTGGCTAGTGAGAAAGACTCAGATTGTGCCGATTGAAATGCTTGCACCGATCGTGGCGCTCTCCACTTTCCATGATCAGAGGAAAGGACATCATCCTCTTCATTGACTCCGAAGCAGTGGAGGGAGCTGTGATCAAAGGCTATTCGGCGCGCGAGGATCTCTCTGAGCTGGTTTCAGTGTTTTGGGATCTTGCTTTAGAGTTGCGAGTGAACGTGTACATTGATCGTGTTTCCACAGACGCAAACCCGGCCGGTTGGCTGTCAAGAAATGATCTTGAGACGGGCAGTTCTGCCGGATGGGGGTCGCTCGAGCCTGTCTGGCCAAGCATTGTTCAGGGCCTGGGAAGGAAGCCTTGATGCTGACACCATCCGTGCTCTTTCAGTGTCGTATCCGTTCGGAGCCTGCTATGCCCTCTGGGCGCTCGCTCTGATGCGGGGTCGGATGCTGAAGAATTTTGTGACACGGTCGCCAGAACATCAACCTGTTCAGGATGACTGTGCGAGTTACTCATTTGCTCTTAGATCTGCTCGACCCCATGCCTTGAGCAGAAAAAAGGAAAGTGCGCTCGCAAGCATGTGTTCACATGCGTCGGTTGCCTTGTGAGTGGTTCTCCTAATTCGGTAAGGTTGGTTTGGTTTAGGAGGGTCACTCAGTAGGCAGTGCGGTCGCACCTCTTTGATATTCTGTTCTTGCATGACAGTTGTTCAACTGTATATCCGTCGCCATTTTGGCGAGAAAGAGCTGTGCAGCAACCCAAAAGACTGACAGCTCAGAAAAAGCCCACCCTCCACGTCCCTGATCATGGCAACCAGCTTTTCCGCTTTCGATGCTGGTCAGCTCGCCATGGGGATCACCGCCTTCGGTGATGTGGATACGCTCTTTCGCCCGTGTGTAGACTGTGGGCTCAAGACCGGATGCTTTTGTGACGGCAAGTTCGGACCTTGCATTGCCGCTCGGCGGGTACCAGCTGAAGTCTGGGCTGAGGGCCAGTGCACGCCGCTCTGTACTCGCTGCGATCGCACAAAAGGATTCTGCCACTTCTGCCGGGGTGAACACTCCTGCACTCCACCGGCAAGAGAGTGAGATACCATGTTCATGGTGATGAAAAGCAGGATGGGAAGGAAGCCTTGATGCTGACACCATCCGTGCTCTTTCAGTGTCGTATCCGTTCGGAGCCTGCTATGCCTTCTGGGCGCTCGCTCTGATGCGGGG